TTCGTTGACGGTTTTATCTCTGACGATGGACTCCCGCAAGAGGTCGAAAGCTGAGACTAACAAAAACTATGATTCCGGTGATCGAAACAGCTCCTTCTTAACCTATACACATACCTGGGATGCGAACCTTTGCCTCAATTAGTGACAGACAGACTTCTCCAGTTCATCTAAAATGTCTTTCTATTTTAGTGACCGGTCGATTCCGGTGAGCAGCTTTGTGTCCTACATGACGAGTGAGAGGATGACAAATTATAAGAAGCTGCGCCTTCAATACGTCGTAAGCCAGCTGTGCAGAATGCTTTTTATTTATTGATAAACGTGCGACTGATTGCGAATTTATGTCCGGAGTATCCTGTAGATCATTAATTACTATACGGATCAGAAGTCGTGCAGCATGCCAACATATGCGAACGATTGAGAAGCTCTCGCTAATGAGCACTGGGTAAGATTGAAATACTGATTATCGTGTAGACTATTCTGAATTCGTTTCAGTCATGATGGTCTGCGGGCTTTTTAACGAGCTTCGTTCTGACCACTAGCAAAATATATCTATTGTAAAAACTGGCTAAATAAGAAGTATGCCTTTTTATCATTGATTTTGACTGCCTTTATAAACCTAAATATACCTAATGCAAAAACTACACAATAAATCTTTCTTCTACTCCTTGGGTGGCAAATTAAAAAAATTTTAAACTTAAAGACAAGGTATCTTTCGGTTTTAATAAAGTTTCTAAATTGCCGAATAATTTTGTAACCTACTGATTGCCATACTCGAGTTCAAGGTTCATGAACTACGCACTGTGCACATCCTGTTTGAGGAAAAGTACGTTTAAGTCTGCAATTTGAGGAAGAAGTCACATAATTCTCATAAAATCTTGCAATAGATATGGAGCATGCTTTGTACAGTATAGGCAGCATTAATAAATTCACAAATATGATGTTTTATGAATGAACACCTCACAATCGTAAAAAAGCTCATAATTAGAAATTTTTCTAAAACCGAAGGATACCCTTCTTTAAGTAGAAAATTTAAAGAAGGCGTAATTGGCTACCAAAAAAGTACAAGAAATAAATGTTTTATGCATGTTTTCCATAAAATATATTTGACTTTATAAAGACAGTCAAAATCAATGACAAAAGCGCTTACTATTTTAGGAGTTACTTTTTAGAGTACATACGTTTTGTTAGTGGTCACAACGAAGCTCGCTCAAAAGCCTGCATCCTATAATGACTGAAATAACTTCAGAATAGACTACATTATAATCATTAGCACAACCTGAGTCAATTTTGATTAGCGAAAGAGTATCAATTCTTTGCATATGTCAGCACGTTGCACGAACCCTGGCGCGTACTGTAGGTTTGAAGAAGACGTCATTTACATAAAAGATAATAAAGCTGGTGCATATACGTATGAAAAAGCCCCCCTAAGATGACTTGAGAATGAAATACGAGGCAATATTACATCTGCAACGTGGACCGATACATGGGACTGATAATTAGCAACCGGTCAAGGTTACCGACACAAAATGAACAAAAGGCGAGGAATTGACACCACCACATTTATGCGCACTCAGTCATTCGAACAACCCGCACAAAATTCCCGGACGGGGTTACGCATTTAGATCTTCCGGCAGGCTGCTGGCTTCCGAGAAAATGACCGAAAGGACTACACATAAAATATCCAAAAATTTCCTGTATAGTTTAACCTGACACATTTGAGTTAAACGCACAATCAACAGCTCATTAAAAGCCAAGGCCTCGATTATCGATCGCTCCCCACGGTAATCGACCAATCAGCATTTTTTTAAAGTACAATGAGCCATCACTACTACAAACCCCATTAAATGAGTCTGCAGGTACATGTTAGACCGTGCCTCGCAATGAAGTAGTCCAATGATTTTAACAGAATCCAAGGGTGATCCATAATCCACCACAGCATTTCATAAAGGAATTTGAAATGAGCACCACTTATATAACCTTTCATTTAAAGAGGAAATAATCTGGATCTTATTTTTTCCTAGCATCTTGATAAGCAGACAGAGCATGAACGGGTCAAAAGTAATCGAACATGCTTGGCGGGATGCCTTATACAAAATGCAGATCGCAACAAGTACAAAAAGGTGTTACCATGTGAGTCGAGAAAACAGAATATTTCTAATGAGGCACTATTTTTACCACATAAAACTTTCTGAAATAAGTATCTGCGCGCTTTTGTTGGAATTTTTACCGGACCTTTAATTATCCACTTCGGGTAAAAACCATTTATCCAACCAAACTTCAATTCGATCGTTGACGATGGACATGAAAAATATAACACTAACTTCAAAACTAAAATGATTTGGTGTAAAAGACTTTTAAATTAAACCCTAAACCATATGCTTATAGACGGCCAGCTGCCGTGTTATTAATGACAACATAATAACAAAGGTGTAATTTTCTCCAGGCAGAGGCTTGGCGGTGTAAGCGACGCTCTCACTTGACTAAATCTCCCCACAGAGTAAACCGGCACAGTCCTTACTATGATGAATTTGATGCTGTTTAATCCATCACGAAACACTTCGGGTTGTGGATCGAACGTTACAAACTGATGAGATACCTTTGTTTTCCGCTCGAAGCCTAAGGCCTTCGTAGAAACAACCTACTTGAGACAAAAACTGCCGATACTGCAATAGGAGGGGGGGCATAAGGACGCGTAGACGCGGTTCTTAACTTTTTCAGGCACTGCTTTCAGGCCCAGCTACAGTGCTTTCGAGTTTGTCTACCGCAATGGCTTAAGTTAACGGGGAAGCTTCTTGGAACTCCGATCTTTAGGCTCCATTCTGAGTGGGTTGAGATAAAGTAGTTCGCCAGTTGGAAGGTACGGTTTATGCTGCGCAGAGGCACTGGTGAATAGGGTGGAAGAAGTTGACCATCGTACGAGCCTCCGTCTGCGCCCGAGAGGAGCAACGTCAAAAGTGTGAGAGGGCGGGAGGCATCACAGCGTCCACAGCGCGATCATGTGTGAGTCAGCCATAGGGAGATGATTGGCCAGACTGGACTGGAACATGCAGAGACTGGTGCGTGCGCACCTGCCAGTAGCCAAGAGAGGTTGCTCACTACAGGTCTTAGTATCTGAACAATGTGAGGCTCAGGCAAAAAGGTTAGTCTCCGTAATTCACTACTGATTTTTGTACCTCTAGGAGGATACTATGTTTCTCGTCCATTACGATGGCCGAACTGCCTATCTGAATAGTCTCGCTGTGCATGCAGATTAATAGCGAGGGTATTGATCAATTATCGTTAGTTCAGGGGCCAAATTACTATTAGGTAATGATAGTAAGTA